CTGGAAGAGAACTCTTACAGTGTTATGCTCGCCTGTTGTACATGTTTATTTAATATGAATTACAGCTGTGTTTCGGTTTGAAGGGTATCATGAGCGAAACGGTGGATATGGCTCGTCATGAATTTACAGAAAAAAATGTTTATTTAATATGAATTACATATATTAAAGTATAAATAAATTAAATTTGCATCCAAATATCATAACAACCTTCACATCGGATCAAGAATATTATTAATAAGTAAAACACGATAACTTTTATTATCTTTAAATTTAATATCAAGCTCATCAAACATTTTTTTTAATATATGATAATTGTATAGTAACTCTGCCTGCACTTACGGTATATGCTGGCGGGGCACCAGTGAGGGATGATAAGTGAAAACTAAAAGGCAAGTTAGTTAGCCCATCATGATGAATACACCGGAAATTCAGCACGATGGTTTCCAGGGGGGATGTGGAGGTCGACCATTGACAGGGTATACCATATTGCTAGCATTGGGACTGGTAGTTCGCTTTCCCTCCCCCTAATACTTACTGTAGTTTATTAGGAAGTAGAGTTCTAGTTTAGTTTTGATTAGGCATGGCTTATATCGATAATGTCCAGATATGTACCCATGTGTATCATTTCTATATCACCCATACCAGATGAATATCGATTTTTACGTCGATCGATTTCTTCATTTCAACATTACATCAATATAGTAATGTAAAGGTTATCTAATAATAACCGATATATAGATACCAGAACAACAATATATATTGCAATATACTACCCACCAGTCTCGATCACTACTAGTGTCCATATTGAATGCCTGTTTACTGTATCTAGGCTATCGTTCCTGCTGTGTAACAATAGAATGACATCCGGGCGTCCTTCCAGTTCATACCTTTGTATTGATACAGACAGCCTGTACATTGAATATTGTATTAGATACGTCATTTGCATAAAACAATTTAGAATGGCGATGTATTTTATGCGATTAATTTAAGACGTGACGCGAGCGACGCTAATTCGTATTAAACTGTAGACGTACCATTTCAGTATGTATTAAATATTATTACGCTGTCACTTCTTTTGACACACTTAATTTAGGGAATTATAACTAAAACTGTTGGCAAAAACCGAAACGGTGAATCGAGATTATTATTTTGAACTTAAAACCAGTGTAAAGTCTTTTCGAAAATATCCAATTTTTTCCTATCATTTTTATTTAAAGTTGTGTAATCTATGATATTACATCATAATATGAAGGAATAATAATATTTTATAGTGAAATACTATGAAGTACCAAAAACAGCAATGTAATACCACTGTAATAACACTATATTAACATCAGCAATGTTAAGTCAACGCCATAAGCGTACGAAAACTACCTATGAAGAAGCGCGCTAATGAGCGCACGTTGTAGGTATCACGCGTCGTGTGAATCAACAAATTTCAAATACATTGCGCGGCGTCAAAACTAAGAATCGTTAATTATATAGCTATGGGGCATTTCCGGTGGGAAAATAATCTGTCATCTGATTTAGACCATTCATTTGAGTTAGCTGTTTTCGTTTTAGCCAACCTGTCTCTTCCACCATATATATAGAAAATTAACACATAATTCGTTCGTCATTTATTCCATATTCGATTCTTCAAACTAAAACATGACGGTGGAAGTAGATTGTTACTAATAATACGAGATTATTTCAACTTGCCAGCAATATACTATTTCAAATTGACCTCCACGTAGTTCCTCCTGGAAACGGTATTACCTATATAAAATCCACTTTAGATTAGATAACATTAATAGGGCGTATAATCATATAGCGTGAGTAAAGCCGGAAATTTACTAGTGGTTAAATAAATCGATATTATTAAACGAAAGGCTTAATAAGCGTTTACCCTGACAGGTTAATGTTAGTTTGGAAGGAGACCAATTTTAAAGCTGATTAATAACTTGGAACATACAAGTACTAATAGAAAATTAAACAACCAATCTCTTAATAGCACTGTTTTTAGAAATAACTATTATTATGTATTATTATATTTATTACGCATTAATGTAATTATTAAGTATAATAAATTTATTATATTAAATGAATAATATTAATAATCCGATATAATTAATATTTTTCAGTAGCAATACTATCCAATCTGATAAATGTTTTACATCTATTTTACTTTTAAAAAATCAATTTGCAAATATATATGTTTATATTTTCCCAGTACAGAAGAAAGCTAAAGAAACCTTTAATTTTTTTATAAAAATACAGTAAAAATATAACAATGCCCATATTGTATAAATATATTTTTACTGGAAATCCTTTAACATTATAATTAATTAGGAACTGTTTCTATATTCTTGCCAAAATGTCCTGAAATCAATCCATTATCTACAATTACTCATATTAAAATTTATGTTCATGATATTACAATAACAAAAACATATATTCAAAATTTAGTAATCGTTAGTAATTTACATAGATTTTAGGTTTTCCTTCTAGTAAGTTACAAATAAGGAATATTTTTTAAAAGTCTTCGTATTATTTTGATTAAAAATCTGTTAATAATATTAATATTTAGAGTTAGTTATTATTTTCAATTATTGCTTTAGAGAAGTCTTGACAAATAGACGGACAGCGGTAAAAGTTTATATTATGCTGATGAAACCCTGAAAAGGAAAATCCATTCCGTAACATAATATTATTATTATTTTTATCCAACATACAACGTAGTAAACTATGATGACATTACCTACTGAGTAACGTACGATACACACAAACAACAAAAGAAGGAAGCTAATTTCCGCAATAGGAAAAAATTCCATCCATTATTGGATTAGCTTTGGTCTGCAGCTTCTACGTTTATTTAGTGTATATTTTCTTGATATATATGACATTGCTAGTTTTGTCTGACAATCAGAAGTAGATTATGTTATTCCCCAAAAAAAAACCCTTTCTATAAAGTTCTAATTTTTTTTTCAATATTATGTATAATATCCATATTTTACAATAACTAGTTCAAAGTTTGTAAAAATCTTTAAAGAACAAAACGACGTATCCAGCTATCAAGTTAGAATGGGAGTTCAAAACTTTTTATCATCTTTCGACCTATGTTTCTTTGAGAAAAATATTTACTCACACATGTAGAATATTTCCGTAAAATATGCTAATAATTCTGTATGTGGTATTTTACTAATAAGACATTTGAAATTTACCTATTTATATCATAAAATCCATCTCTAAATCATATATGAAAATTTATTGACAAGCAAAGAAATTCTAACTAGACCGTGATTATGCATATACTTATCATGAAAATAACTATTAAAGAGTTGTGAAAAAAAAAATATGCTGTAAAAGGGTTTTACAGCTATTTAATGAGATACAAAGAGCACATCCTAAAGAGCGACTGGTAGAGAATGCTTATAGTATTAAGTCTGCTTATTGTACCACATTTTATGGGTCAATAAACTTTAAATATATAATTAAATGTCTCATTTCCATGGAAAAATACAAATAATCGTTCACAAAAGACATGCTCGCATAGCTAGTATTGAGTGGGGCAGAAATAAGTCTTCGATGTACAAAGAATATCAATAACCGTAATTTCTGACGAAATATCGAGAAATTATTTTTTAACGGATGCTTACGAACCAGCTCTGTATTGTCAGAACGTTTTACTATATCAATAGGCGTATCTGTGGACAATAGATATCAATAATATGTACAACTTTATTTGACATTTTCTTTTAATACGAATATAGATTATATGAGTCCAGAGAAACCGAAAGATATTTTGGTTCTACCTTTTAATAAATTTAAAATTGTTATTAAGAAACACTTATTCAATAATAACCTATTACATCTTAAACAATTATTTAAATGACAAATATACATAGTTGATAATGATGGACTTTTTAATAGTTATGTATTTTATATACAGTACAATTAAATAAATACACATAATATTAACAGAGATTTAAAAAAGTAACTGTTGATGTTTTGCGGATTCTTTTCAGAAGATGACTACATCTCGAACCCCGCAATAGATTAATAAAATGTTCGAAGATTTAAAAATGTCTGTCTATTTGAATAAAGATGTTTTGAGTTTAAGTTTAATATATTTACTTGTAATTGTGAGGGTTTTCAAAGAAACGTTATAAAAACATTAAGGTAATTTCACAACATTCATTTCCACTCGACATCTAATTGACGTAGGTCGAATTTGACGTTATCTAAAATTAGGGAGAATTTTAAGTTACTCTTGGTATTTTGTTATTTTGTTTTATAAATAGGTGCATATTAATTTATATTGTCTTAAAAAGAAATTATTACGTTATTTTAAAATTGATTAAATTATAAAATTACATAACAAAAGATCCTGAGTCACGAACACCCACTGATTGCCTGTAACATGTTTGAAGTCGACATTATCGAGTTGGTAAGGATTGAGAGAATTTTATTAATAAGGTAGAAATTTATGTGAAGAGGTACTAATATATAACAATATATCTTTATTTCACGTCAAAATATGTTATGCTTTTTTAAACAGTGAAAGTTGTCACATCAGCATTATTGTAGTATACATAAAATCTATTTCAAGGAAAGGTTTAAATCTTACTTTTTGACTAATAATACACAATAATAATACTAAATACTATATTATTATTTCTTATTATATATTTATTTACATACATTTTGTGTCAGTTTATTTTATTTGTATTCTATTTACTTTGTATTTACGTTTTTTTTTCTTGTACCTTTCCTGCGCAGATTACCCGCTAATCATTTTCTCTATTACTGCTGGCTGGCTGCGGCTGGAAGACATTTTTTTCTGAGATAAGCCGACCCTTATTAACAAATTGTTAAATTAATCGCGGTATCTTTTATTCACAAGTGATATAAAACATATATGTATAAAAATATTTATGTAAATATTAATATAATACTATTTTTGACTTATAGTAGCAACACCTAAAATTGTCGCCTTTTGAACAAATTTATCCATAATGTATGTGATAAAATACAAGAAAAATCCAAGTTTATGGACATAAAATAAATCAGTGAGACTTAAGTGTTCTAATAATGACGCAAAGGTGATCAGTGCAAAGTGACCGCAAGATGGCGATGGTGATATCACAAACGACTAAAGCAGCGATTGGAGGGTTCTTGGCGCTTATGATTCTTGGTGCTGTTTTGGTAGTGGGCGCAGCCTTCGGGTGGTTCGACCCGAGAAGAGAAGATGAGGATACACCAGCCAAAATCAGTGCCAGGCTGCAGGGAAGGACCTCTTTTGTCACACACCGAGCTGTAAGTATGACTTGATTATTTTTTTAATATTTTGTTTTGCAGAACTAGTAAATTTTTAATATGCAACTTAGAATGGCAAATAAGCTGACGGCTCATTCGAAGAAAAGTTACTACTTTTCCGTCTTCCTTACTTTCTTTTTACGGTTATCACCATCGTCCATAGACACGAGTACCACCATGGATATCATATCGCGATTATTCATAGTACCTATCCCTTCGTTACCATCAACATATATGCAGGGCACATTTGTAATTTTATTGTCGTATCTCATACTTAAAACAGCCATTGCCATGCAAACACAGCTGAATAAAGGTATCCAAGAAGCCTACAATTTGTGTTCCTTCTAAAATATTGTATGTGATTTTTTTTTATTTACAAATGTTTGCTTTGTGTCTGAACATTGTTTTGTTTATTCATAATAGATAAATTCAAAAACTACTAAACGGATTTTATAAATATTGCACCTATAGAATTGTCAGCGAGTTACACTGGCTATAATTAATATTCTTTTAAATAAATATTCCCACGTAAATTACAATAATATAATCAAAGGTATCATAATTTGTCTATCAAGGTCATAATTAATTTGTTATAAAAGTTATTATACTATTATACTCATAAGTCATATATAAAATAATGTACTATATGTTTATAGTAAATATCGTTGGCCACAAAAAATTTACAAAACTATATACATGTTCAGCTGTTATGTCACAATAATCATTGTACCAAAAAACACGAGTGGGATCTAAAAATGATGGCATTCATTATTGTATTAATGTTAGTAATCTTTATCCAACTATAAAAGTTTTAAAACAAAATTTAATTATATAGATATACATACTTCTTTAAATTATTTGAATTGGGCATTTTTTCAAAATTTATGACGGATCAAAAAGCACTATAATTTAAGATTATATTTCATAAAAAAAGATCGACTTGAATTGTAGCAAAACTAATTCAATGAATAACTATTTATATTAATAAATTAAATAAATAATTGATTTTGATAAAATTCCTATAGGATCAACCTGTATATAATATTTTATATAAAAAATAATTTTCCAAGTTGCTTTATAACTGGAGGAAATATAAGGTAATAAACATAATAAATCTATTTTGAGTAGTAGAAAAATGCCATGGTGAGAACGAAAAGCGCTTAGTATTATTGTTATCTTTAATTTGTCCAAGAACTAATTTAAAATACAAATCTTTCTATTTATCTACCCTCGTGAAGCCAGGGCGGGTAGCTAGTAGTTAAATAAATTATCTTCCTTAATCTTAACTAAGGTACTTTTGACTGTTTGTTGAAGAAGTTAAAAATATATCCACCTACACCTTATTTCAAAGTGGACTAAATTCAAAGTGGGAATAAATTTAACAAAACTACTTTTTGTTTATAAATAGTTTGTAGATTATTTAGTATTTCTTTAAGAGCAAGCATAGCTTAATGTAAATAAAATTTCTATTACAAAAACCGAAATTTTAACTTTATATAATAAATATACTTATAATCAATAACCAAAATAGAAAATGAATAAATGATAACTTTGCTTTGCTTGCTTGCTTTAAAAAAATAATCACTAAAGTAAATAAACTAATAAAGAATGTAGAATAAAGATTTTATAATACAATACAGGAGAAGTCTCCGGATTTGGCGTGTATGGATGAGACGAGTTATGAAAATTTGAGAAACAAGAGATATATTTATAGGTCTTTAGCACTCGGTTCTCTTCGCCTACCCCACAAGAGAATTAGCATGAAGATAGAGAGATAGATAAACAATACAATGATAACATCGTTCTAAAATTAACCGAGACATTATGCACTTAATACACAAACGAAAAAATAACGCTCGAATTGAGAACCTGCTTGCTTTTGTTGCCAGTTGAAAAATAGATACCAGGTGAATGAATTCGCAGAAATTTCGAATTGGTGTAATTTTTCGTGCCATTTTTTCGTAACGTTAATTAAAATGCACGCAAAACGGTCGACGAGGGCTGTTGCAATTAATTGGCATACGATAAAACTGTGTATTTTAGACGTTAATTAAATAATATTCGGTACATTTTACGAGTCACAAGCATAGCATAAAAAAATATTCCCATATTTCAATCCAAAATCAGTGTTTCTAAATGGATAAGTCGTATTTAATGTTGTTTGATACATCTGAACTCAATACTGCTTATGTCAGTAGGACTTATGAGTGTTCTCTCGGGAAACTTAAAAATGATGTGTTGTTAAGACATTTGACATAGTTTTCTATTTGTTGAATTATAACTAACTTGAGTCATACCTAACTATATTACAATTTTATTATTAATATCAGATTTACTCGCTTATTAAATTCGAGGTTGGCCGACTAGTTTCAGACTCACTATTAACTCGCGGTTAACGAAAATAAATACGCGAGTAAAGTACCAGCTTTACTTATTATTTATACCAATAAATAATTACAATACTTAATTAAATGCTGAAATTACAAGTATCTTTTAATTATAAAAAAAAAGTACTTAAATAGCATACAACATTCCATGAATGATAATACACTTCGTAATTCGAAGGTATATTCAACTGTAAATATTTGCATTCATAACGGAATCATGTCTCTGCAAGTAAATTTTACATTACAATAAGTTTTTTTTTTTATTCTACAAGGGAAATAGGTATTTTAATCGTTACAATTTTAGTATAGTAAACTCAAATGATTACAAAAAGAATTATAGTAAAAATATTCTGACGAATTAAGAATCTCTTTCTTTTGAAAATAGCTTAAAAATGAAAAATAAACATTCTTCGACTTACCGCAAAAATATTAGACGTGTAATAGACAGATGTTCGATACGTGTCCAATGTATGTTTATGTTTAGACAAAATAAAGTATACGTTATTAAAAAAATAATGTTTAAGTGAATAATATTTTTTTTTTATAATAATCTATAAATTTTGGCATATACAATTAGAAATAAACATACTAAACAAAATTTAATTACTTACACTGAGTTTTGTTAAACATTGTTTAAATAAGTATTTTATTGTCATTACAATCCAGTATAACTCACAATAGTTAGTCTTCAATAGTAAGCGTTTTAATTTTTTTTTGTAGTATCATTACTTGCCATTTCAATATAAGAGTAACTAAGACAACGATTCAGTATTTGTACCATGTTTCTTATAATATAAATCATATATGAAATATTTTTATATTACCAATATCATAAATTGAATAAAGACTGAACGATGTATAGTAATATGAATAGATACGAAATATAATATTCCGTTAACAAGGCACTCATATCCTTGAAATAGTATTATCTTGTGTTTGATAGGATATTGAATATTGAGTGAAAGTTACATTGTAATTTTATTAAATAGGTTTGGCCTTTTGTATTATTAATTCAACGTCAATTTTTTTATTCTTTGATATCTGCCATAATATGTTTGATAACCCGATAAATGGCTGCTCTAACCTATAATATATACACACACACGCGTACACTCACACACGCCCGCACTCACGCACGCACGCACACGCACGCACACACACACACATATATACACACACACACGTCACGCTCTCACGATATATTATATGTATATATATATATATATATATATATATATATATATATATATATATATATATATATATATATATATATAACCTTTAATAAAAGAGCATATTCCTTTTTAAAAGGCCGGCAACACACCTTCAATGCCTTTGGTGTTCATGTTCACTTACCATTAGGTGAGCGCGATACATTGAATAGGCCTATTAAAAGTTTTTGTATTACATTAATAACAATAATATTGTCATATCTCTATTCATCAAATACTGACAAATCGTACAAATCCACGTGTTATCTATAATACAAATTCACTCACTCGACAATAAATTGACTGTTCATTTTAACTGATTGAATACGATAGGTTAAATTAATAAAAATATATATATAAAGAACAATTTCAGTTCATTTATCTATTTTTGTTTTGTTTTTTTTTTACTAAAATGCGACAATTCTGCCTGTTTTTTGTATAGCCCGGACTTACGGCGGTTTACCACATTTGACAGTGACCGATGATGGCCACGCAATACGAATGGAAAAAATATACCTGTTTTCCGATCCACTTTTTATATACAAGTAGACACATTTAGGGTTGATACTCCGTGTTGATACTGATGCACGTACTCTACTTGATCGTCTAAATTATTTAAAACAATATTATAAAGAAGAATTTTTGTTTGTTTGTAATGGATAAACTGTAGAATGAATGAATGAATGAGTATACTTTATTTGCATTATACAATATAAGAGAAAAATAACACAATTAATAAATATAACGATACAATTGTATAAGTTCAGTAAGGCGGTCTTATTGCTGAGAGCAATCTTTTCAAGACAACCTTAGGGTAATGGACTAATTGTTATACAAGTAGGTATTGTATAATTAAGAAAATTAATAGAATAAAACATTAAGGAAAATAATTAAATTAAATAGAAATACTTAAATAATTTTTAAAAATCTTTAAAATGAATAATTACTTAAGATTTTAATGTAATAACTACCCGGTTAATTTGCGTGTAATAAGATCTAAGAAACTCGACTAGTTTCGGGATCAATTCGTAATTCTTAGTCATAAGCGACTGTAACGCAAAACGCTTGCGTTTAACATGTAAGTTAAACCGGTAGTTATTAAATTAAAATATAATGTGTGCTTACGAAACTTTTATCCAAAAAATACTCAAAATATTTTTAAAATTCTTTCATCTACAGAAAGGTACATTATCAGTGAGTAACATATATTCCTTTAAAAAAATTGAAGATCCCTACAATAATTGTAATTTTCTTAAAAATTGTAATACACTACCTAGTGAAGCCAGATGGATTGCTAATTTAAAAATAAAAACAAATTTTTTACACTGATGTAAATAGAAAAATAAAAATATATCTTTGACAATACTACAAATGATTCGTGTTATTTATTATTCAAGACTAA